TTGTTTCACTATTCTTAATGTAACAACTGATAGGAAGATGAAAATAAACATACCCTGACACACCACACATTGATCTCCATGCCTAAAGCATGAGTTAGGCATGAAGGCAGAGGATATATCGCTGGACTTTTTCATTTTTTAGGGCTTAGGGGCCCCCTAAAACTGATTATTCATAATCAAGGATATTTTATTTATTAGCCTTTCAAAACCAAGCATCTTAATATAATATTTTCAGGCCACAATGTAAATGAATGCTTAAGGGAATTATATATTTATCATTTTGAGAGCTGATAAAAGTATATTTCCTAATTCCAAGTCAGAGGTATGAGAACAGGTCAATTTAGAATGTTTATAAAATTAAAATGACTTGTTATTTAATGCTAATCTTCTAGTCTCTTGATAGCAGTGGTTCATGATCTCTTTTGGAGCAAACCCTCTTAATGGATTTGATGATAGCGTCCCAGAAATCCACATATATGCCCAATTTTGAATATAGTTTCAGAGAGTCCACAGACTGCCTGCATCCCACGCACAGACCCTTTGTCCACCTCCTGGAATAGGGATCCCTGCAAATCAGGCTAAGACTCTGTTCCACAGGTTTAAACTCAAGACAACTAGTCATTTAAAAACATACATACACACACACACACCAAAATTAACTGCTTAAAAAAACTTGAACTAAATTAATCCTTCATAACAATGCTTCATCCATTCCTTTTTACTGTCGCTTTTTTAAGAAGTCAAAATGAAAACACTTGCTACAGGTAAATATAAGCCTCCAAAAGAACCAGTGTATTTGACTCTACCATACTGTCACTTAAAACAAAATTCCTGCTGATCATTCACATTTCCAAAATCTGTTGCACAAAGTCCTAACTCACATATTCTTTTCCCAGTAACCAAAATTTTGACCAAAGTAAAGCATCTTCAATTTTTTAAAAATATTAGCACTTTATTAACAATGAGAGACCAATGGAATACAGTTACTCTCAAAAAAATTTAGCTGCTCCCAATTTACTTTAATCCATATCTTCCTTAACTTAATAGAACCACAAAGATAGTCTTATTTCTAAAATAGATGAGATTTAGACATTCTTAAAACTGAAAATCTTCAAAACTGTCATTTATGATTTAATATTATATCTCTATTCTCCTTTATACTTTCCATTCAATTGTATCAAGCCAAAAATTAGGAAGAATGCAACGGCATTACAGGCGAACATAACAAGTATAAAAATTGCAACAATTCACTTGAGATTTTTTATTACATTTATGTCTACGTAATATTGGAAAAAAATCTGTATAGATGAGAAAGCAGCTGAAGGACAAAATCAAACTCCTGGCTTTATTTAGATGCAGGCATAACGTCTTTCAGATAAAATATTTGTAGGTGCCACAGTCAATCAAAATTTCAATAGAAACCAAAGATGAAAGCATTCATGCATAAAAGGCAAGTGTGATAATTATGATGTTCAGACAAGATAATGGAAAATATCCGAGGCTGCTTTTCATTTTATGTATCAAGTGCTGCCTTGACCTAGACAACCTATAATGCTCCATCTCATTTACTGCATTATTTTATCATTTTAATTACTTAGCAGAACTCAATTAATTTGGTTGGCATCTGGTCAGCAGATAGAAATCCTCCACTGTCCTATAGGGTCTTTTCCCTGAATCATTTCTCAAAATAATCCTGCAATAAGTTTTCAAAAAACATGCAATTGAGTTTAAAGTTCTCGTTCAACCTTCAAGTTTATTAATCTCTTACTGATTAAGCAAATGGCATCCATTTTCCTGGAATGTCATTTTCAGACAGTTTACGTCAAAGTGCTTACAGACAGTTTATAGCAAAAACTTTAGCATGTGAGTCCATACCGTAAAATTTACACTGGCTCCATTTTAAAAGTTCTCTGGCAATGAGTTGAACAGAACATGGTAGAATGATTATCACAGGGACGAGGATAGTTCACAGCATATAGATTTAGCACAAAGTTCATTGCCAGGGTATTTAAGGCTTATGGTAATCATTTTCTAAGCTGTGCTCTAATCTATTATCCAGAACCAGGATTCATCCACCTTAATACTCATGAAAATAGTCCCTAACAAAGTTCAAGATTACAATTACATTGCTATTATTTATAATGTATTATGTTATAAAAACACTGTCTTTATAGTTATTAGCCTGCCAAAATTATAATAATGCGTATTCTTACAAACGTGATACTCTAACTCTAATTTGGAGGAAAGTAACTTTTAGATATCATTAACAATTTCTGTTCAGAACTGTCAAATCAAAGGACGGTGTTTCTCAGTGTCCCCATTTCATTATTAAATGAAAGCATACATAATGCAGGAACAAAATTCCTTTTCTACTAGAAGGCAACCCTAACATACCAATGAAACTTAGATCAGCACCTGACTGAAAAGACAATGCTCCCTGAGGATTCAATTCTGAATAAAGGCATTCTGAATGAGACTTCTGTCTTATCTTCAGTTGTCACTCAGTGGAACTCCACTTTCCCCTGGAAATAAGTCACTACCAGTCTACGTCGTCCTTGGTTAGAGTGGCTAGCAAAACAGAAAAAGAGGGTAACGGGGTGAATATGATTCTCCTCCCTTGCGGGAGCAGATGAGAACAAAGTTGCCTGGCATATCCTTAAGGCAGGGAAGAAAAGTAGAAGGTGCTCTCTGTAGACACAAGTGGTCACAGAGTGAAAGCAATTGATAGAGTTCCCAGAAGAATGACTCAACCTGGTCCTTAAGAAGACAGACAGCGTTGAAGGAGGTGTAACTGCATGAAGGTCGTCAAAAGGTACAAACTTCCAATTATAAGATAAATAAGTACTAGAAATGCAATATATAACATGATAAATACAATTAACACTGCTGAATGTTATATACGAAAGCTGTTAAAAGAGTAAATCCTAAGAGTTTTCATCATAAGGAAAAAAATTTTTTTCCATTTCTTTATTTTTGTATGTATATGAGATGATGCGTGTTCACTAAACTTATTGTGGTAATCATTTCATGATGTATTAAGTCAAATCATTATGCTGAACAGCTTAAACTTATAACATGCTATATGTCAAGTACATCTCAACAAAACTAGAAGAAGAAAAAAAGAAGATGGACAAAGCCTTAAAAAATAAAAATTCAAGTTCCAGTAAAGTATGTTTAATTTTAACAGTCTAAGAAGGCATACAATATCATGCTCATCCAGTTAGCTGGGGACATTCACCTTCATACTTCAGGCACTCTCAGGCCCAGGGGGCCAAATAAAAATGAGGGGGTCAAAAAGAGATTTAACACAACCCTTTGGTGAAATGATATGGCAACATGAAAAGTACTCATAAAACACCTATAGCCCAAGATGCAGCATCAGTACTCCTTGGAATTTATCCCAAGGGTACAACTAAAGGAAGAAAAAATATTATTGGCACAGTGATGTTAAGTACACTATAAAAAAGAGAAAAAAATTTGGAAATAACCAAAATAGGTTAAGTGCAATCAGTTGACAAAAAGCTAAGCAGCCAACTAAAATAATCATGAAGATTATGCAACAGGGAAAAATATGCACACATTAATGTGAAAAAATTAAAATTACTCAATGAGAGAAATACTTAAATGCCAATAACTTGAAAAGAATAAAATTAACACAGTGATATTCTACACTGCAAAAATATTGGTTTGGCCAAAAAGTTCATTAGGTCTTTTCCGTAAGATGGCTCTAGTAGCACTTAGTTGTCTTTAACTTCATTCGAAACAATTTTGTTAGATTGTATTGACAGCTGTCATATCAGGCGTGCATTTAAAAAAAAAGCTTATCAAAACTGGTCAATTTTGTGTAGCTATTTTAATATTGAAGATGGAAAAAAAAAAGCAAAATTTTCAGCATATTATGCTTTATTATTTCAAGAAAGCTAAAAACAACTAAAATGCAAATAAAAGATTTGTGCAGTGTATGGAGAAGGTGCTGTGACTGACTGAACGTGTCAAAAGTGGTTTGCGAAGTTTCGTGCTGAAGATTTCTCGCTGGACGATGCTCCACGGTCAGGTAGAACAGTTGAAGTTGATAGTGATGAAATAGAAACATTAATTGAGAACAATCAACGTAATACCATGCAGGAGATAACCGACATACTCAAAATATCCAAATCATTTGCACCAGCTTGGTTATGTTCATCGCTTTGATGTTTGGGTTCCACATAAGTTAAGCAAAAAAGCCTTCTTGACCGTATTTCCGCATGCGATTCTCTACTGAAACCTAACGAAAACGTTTTGTTTTTAAAACAAATTGCGACGAGTGATGAAAAGTGGATACTGTACAATAAAGTGGAATGGAAGAGATCGCGGGGCAAGCAAAATGAAACACCACCAACCACACCAAAGGCCGGTCTTCATCCAAAGAAGGTGATGTTGTGTATAAGGTAGGATTGGAAGGGAGTCCTCTATTATGAGCTTCTTCCGGAAAACCAAACAATTAATTCCAACAAGTACTGCTCCCAATTAGACCAACTGAACGCAGCACTGGATGAAAAGCGTCCGGAATTAGTCAACAGAAAACGCATAATCTTCCATCAGGATAATGCAAGACCGCGTGTTTCTCTGATGACCAGGCAAAAACTTACAGCTTGGCTGGGAAGTTCTGATTCATCCACGGTGTTCACCAGACGTTGCACCTTCGGATTTCCATTTATTTCAGTCTTTACAAAATTCTCTTAATGAAAAAAATTTCAATTCCTGGGAAGACTGTAAAAGGCACCTGGAACACTTCTTTGCTCAAAAAGATAAAAAGTTTTGGGAAGATGGAATTATGAAGTTGCCCCAAAAATGTCAGAAGGTAATGGAACAAAACAGTGAATATGTTGTTCAATAAAATTCTTGGTGAAAATGAAAAATGTGTCTTTTATTTTTACTTAAAAACCGAAGTAACTTTTTGGCCAACCCAATACCTCAAAAACAAAAAACCTATCTAGATGAGAAACAGAAAGCAAGTTTACCTTGAGCTAGTCTTTCCAGTCGTTTTCCATGCTCTGGGGGTATTGCATACCTAAAATTTTAAACACAAATAAAAATTTTAGATTTATAATTGTTCAGCTAGTATCCTAAGGACATCTATTCCTAAATAATGTCATGTAAAAAAAAAGTCAACCCCAGGGACTTGCCTGGTGGCTCAGTGGTTAAGAATCCGCCTGCCAGTGCAGGGGACATGGGTTCAATCCCTGGTCCGGGAAGATCCCACATGCCACAGAGCAACTAAGCCCACGTGCCACAACTACTGAAGCCTGTGCGCCGAGAGCCTGTGCTCTGCAACAAGAGAAGCCACTGCAGTGAGAAGCCCGTGCACCACAACTAAGAGTAGCCTCCGCCCGCCGCAACTAGAGAAAGCCCACACGCAGCAACGAAGACCCAATGCAGCCAAAAATAAAAAATATATAAAAAAATAAATTTATTTTTTAAAAAAAAGGTCAACCCCAAACTCCACTTAGATGAACTAAGCAGAGATTAGAGAACCAAACACAGAACTGTATCTCTTGTACACTAAACAGAAGAAAAATAAACTTAAATCACCTATTTCAATGTCCCAGCTCACCATTCCAACCACATTTTACACATTAGGGAACAAAGGCCCAAGGCCAGCAAACTGCTTGGACATGGGGCACCTGGCCACAGCATGGAGTTTAGAACCTCCCTTGTAACACTCACAGCACCCCAGCGATCCAGGGCTATTTTTGGTTGTATATTTTTTGTTTTGCATTTGGTTAGTTTGGCCTTTGTTTTTAAGCAAAAAAATTTTTTTAAAGTTTTTGTTTTTTTTAATTTATTTATTTTTGTCTGCGTTGGGTCTTCGTTGCTACATGCGGGCTTTCTCTAGTTGCGGCGGGCGGGGGCTACTCTTTGTTGCAATGTGCGGGCTTCTCATCACGGTGGCTTCTCTTGTTGCAGAGCACAGGCTCTAGGCGCACGGGCTTTAGTAGTTGTGGCTCACGGACTCTAGAGCACAGGCTCAGTGGTTGTGGCGCATGGGCTTAGCTGCTCTGCGGCATGTGGGATCTTCCCGGACCAGGGCTCGAACCCGTGTCCCCTGCATTAGCAGGCGATACTTAACCACTGCGCCACCAAGGAAGTCCAAAAAAAAAAGTTTTCTTTAAAAATAAAAACCTTTTAAAATGCTTTTTACTGACAAGCAGGATAGAACATGAAATTATTAATAGTAACATTTATATCTCCACCAAACCTTTCTAAGAACACTGTACTTTTCAAATAGATTTTAAATAAAAATTTACCAGCCATAAAAAAGGCAGCTTTGATTTATTTCACAATTATGTGACTTTTAAAATCTTGATTATAGAAAAAAGAATTGTTGGGAATTCCCTGGTGGTCCAGTGGTTAGGACTCGGTGCTCTCACTGCCAGAGCCTGGGTTGGATCCCTGGTTGGGGAACTAAGATCTGCAAGCCATGTGGCATAGCCACAAACAAAAGAAGAAAGAAAGAATTGTTCACCCTTGGAAAACAGAAATTCTTCTTCAAGTATTACTCATTTCTAGTTCCTGGTGTTTTCAAAAGTTACATACTTGATTTTATTTACTGTGAACTTACTAACAAATTTTAAAACAATAATCTCAAGTTAAATGATCATTTCATGTTTTAAATAAGAATATATTACTCTCCAGACCTACATTTGCTGTTTACTAGCTCAATATATATTAAGTACAAGTTACTTTTTTACTAAAATAACTTTTCTCATTTTACTTAACACCACACTTGGTTGCATTTAATGCCACTGATAACATATGCAGAACTTAATTGGATCCGTTGTAACTAGGCAATTCTCTAAAAGAAAATTCAACCATATATCCTGTTGCTTCAGGCACCGTTAATGAAATTATTCCAACTGAATTGGGAAGATAAAATTTTAGCATAACTAAATGACAATCACCCAACATGTATTTATACACTGGCCACTTCTCAACAATTTTTAATCCCTGGTTTACATTGCCAAATATACCCAGAAAAGGACACACACACACACACATACACATGCATGCCCCAGACAAGCATAACGTACATGCTAACACATGCACGTGTATACACACACAGGCATGCACTCATGTAAGGGCTGGACATGGAGATATTTATATATCCAGGTTCACTTTTTTTTAAAAATGGTATCAAAGTTAAAGTTCATTAACCCGAAATTTAACCATCTGCTCACAGAAAACATAAGTAAATATAAATTTATATATAAACATAAATATAAGGATAAAAAATACACTTGACATAGTCTTTCAATTGATCTTCACAACCCTATGACAAAAATCACATAGCCAACACATAGTAAACACATCTCTTAAAAGGGTTCTAGTAAAAATTCTCTGGAGGCTAATCATCAGAAAGATTTTTTCCATACATTATACATGTATCAAAAATTCTTTAAATTAGACACATGACTTGTAAGGCACTGAGTGTGTCCCCTCAATGCAGTTTGACCATTACAGGTGGGCGCCCACCTTCTGTTGTACCCTTCCAAACTACCCTCCATGGTGTGCCAAAGTCATCTTTGCAAACTACAGATCTGTTCATGACAAAACCCTGGGCCTTCAGTGGCTGACTTACCTGAAGGATAGAAGCTGAACTTTTTTTCAGGACACACAGACCTGCTGCGATCCTGACACCTCTTCAGTTGCACCTACTGACCAATGTCCCAATCAAATCCTGCTCTTTGGTTTACCAGACCACTTGAATGTCCTTCCAGTGCCTTTGTTACTTTATACCACCACTACTTTCCATCCCCTATTTCTGGGATTTACACACCCTTACCATCCCTGTCCAGCCAACAAAACCTCCACTCCTTTTTCTCCACTCAGCTTGAGTCACCCTCAGGGAGAGCTCCACACTCCTCCTTTTGCTCTATCAACCACACAGAAGACAGGTTTCCACCATGGTACTCAGAATTTAATTTTTTTACCTTTCTGCCTCCCTCTCTCCTTTCAACCTCCCTAGGGGCAAGGACCAGTGTCTCTCCTAGAACAAAAGCACCAGAAAAGCAGATGCTCAGAAACTGTGTGCTGACTTTTGTGGCTCTCAAAATGATGAATCATGATCCTCACCCTCCAGGATGGAAGATGTGGAAGGAGAGGAAGGATACAGCAAGAAGAAAAAAATCATGAAAGTGGGAAATTGGAAGAACAGGTAAGAAATTATATAAGCCAATACCTCATTTCCTAATTACAGGGTCAGCCTGGCATACTCAGGATCAACTCTACCAGTTTCAACTTCCTAATCCGTTCAAATACCTAATTCAATCAAATCTTTCTCCCAGGACTCTATACTTTTAGTATGGTCTCCCCATTTTGCCTTGCCTTCTCTTCATCCCTCCTGGATCTTACGCTGTGAAGCACAGTGTGCTCAAGGTAGATGGGCAGGACTGGGGCACTTAATTTCCACTTAAATGGCATGGGGCAAAAATAAGGTCCTGATATAACTGCCCTAAAAACTTAGCTCCTATGAACGTAGCAGCCAGCAAAGAAAAGTACCATCTAATATCTTTATAAAAAGAAAAAAAATGGTAATAAATACCAGTCAACGAGAAAAAAGTTCCAGCTTCATAAGAATGTTAATATTTTTCATCTAAACAATTTAAAAAATCAATATAAGCAACTATCAGAATATAACTGAAACAAAATGCCCTGAACAAGAGCAATCATGGGGGAGATAAAAGCCCTTAAAAACCTGAATCACTCGTATGCTTTTAAGAAGTCTGAAATCCTGCTGCTCTAACATACAAGGTTTTATTAATTTCTGTCTTCTAGTAAATTCTACTACTTCATGGAAACATTAAGCAATTCTCAGCATTTATTTGGAAATAACAGCAGAAAAATACTGCCTACCTGCCCACCCATCTGACCGTTTCCCATCAGCATTTAGACACGCTTATCTCTTCTGCCTCAAAAAAATACCTTCTCTGGGCCCTTCATCCTGCTACCACCCATCTACTTTCTTTTCTTCCCTTTACGCACACCACCTCCAGTACTTGCCTCATTTTATCCCATTCACCCTGGAGTCCAGCTCAATCTGGATCCTATTCCCATCACACTCAGTATGACTGCTTGGACAAAGGTTGCCACGTTGTTTAGTCTTTACCTACCTGTCCTCTCTGGAATTTTCAACTAGCTCCTTAAACACTCACTTCTCTTGAGTTTGATGATTTAAGTCATTTCCAGTGCTTTTCTATCTTCTGCTCTTGCCAAACCTACCTTCTGGCTGCCTAACGTTCCCCAGGGCACCATGCTTTAGTGCTTCCACATTCTTCCCCAAGGGAACCACCTTCCCTCAATCCTTCAAGATCACCCACATGTTGCTGAACCATATCTCCATCCCATGTGTGTCCCTCTGAGTTCTGCACTTCAAAAACCAGCCAGCTACTGAACAAATCCATTTAGCAGCCCTCAAACATAATCTGTCCAAAGCTTAATCCTCCGGCATCTTCACGACAGACCTGCTTCTTTTACAGAGTTCCTCATCTAACTGCCCAGAAAAATGGAATTTGTCTGTGGTTGTACTCCCCTATCTAATCAATCCCCAAGTTTTATGTGTTCCACCTGTTACTTATACAAGAGAAATCTCATGAACCTGTCTACATTTCTCTATCCTAACTACAACTGCCTTGGTCCATTCTGTCACACACATCATTACAGCAGCCTCTTAGCTAGTCTTCAGCCTTACCCTCTCTAGTCCATGTAGCCAATCAGTTCATGTCACTTCCTTCACTTGCTTAAAATCTATCTGAAGCAGGAACTGGTGACTAAGTAGAGGCAAGCTAGAAGGTCCGTAGGCATAGGGGTTTATTACAGACAAATAGTGACCTCAGTTAGGGGAGTCCTAATTCTATGGCTCTGACCACCTCCTAGCTTTTTCTATGAAAGTATCCTATCACTTCAAAAGACTCACAACAAACAAGATCAAATTTGTGATTTCCCCCTTTAAGTTGGTTATCTCCCCCAGCTTCCCCATTGCAGTTCAGAACTCCATTTGCCCTCAGCATCCCA